TATCAAAATAAATTTTTCCTCAGCCCAAATACGACCCCCCTCTCCTGGCGGCCAAATACGACCCCCCTATTGGGGATTCCCCAACAACGATGAGCCCTGCTTCTTCCTTTATCTTTTTACTTTTTCTATTACCGTTGTACTACTGACAGGTTAAGGTGTTCCTTTCGATGATGGCGAAACAGGACGAAGAGAATCGCGATAGCACCTCATTTCCTGCGACTGCTCAGCACGTAACCACAGGGCATGTAATAGTAAGTGCCGATCTACAAAGCAGCATAAAAATCATGGTAAATCGACCAAAACTCAACAAAACAGGTCAGGGTACTTCAGTTGCGCAGGACTGACTTGATCTGCAAATTACTAGTACTGTTTGTTTTCCCGTTTGCTTTCGGTTTCTGTTATATGTACACTGCTTAGTAAATCAGTCATATGTTGTCATAAAAACTTGTTGGATTTGTTGTGGGGTGCATCTAGTCTTTATTGTCGCATATTACTACTAATTGTGTGTTATTTTTGCTGTGTAGAAACGGGTATTGCTTTGTAGTTCGCTACTTGTAATACTTCTTGAGAATACTCGTGTTTGGTGGGTGTATAATCTGATGACGTTTTCTTTCCAATATTGATTTGCCAGCAAGAATGTAAAGCAGCGTGCAGACTTCGCGACGACGCGCTGTAACGCCCGTCGACGCGCCACTTCTGAAAGGATGCCCCAATGTATGGACGCGAACCCAGCCGCAGACAGGAATTACTCGGCGCTGGCCACTTGCGTTTTGAGAGAATAAGGAACATCGAGGGTAGGCGCTGTCTCCACACAGTCTGATACCCTGCTAATCATCTGTACTCTCCTCATCACGAGCGGACACTGCCGATCGATAGCAGACTGCGTGTAGGCGACGGGTACCCTCTTATTCTCGCATACTTTCTCAAAACACTAGCTCCGGTGCTGATCGATTCTTGTTTGCGGATGTCTTCGCGTCTATAACTTTCCAGCGGTGCTGCAGCTGTAGCGCGTCGCCGCGCGTCATGCCAAGTCTAAACGCTGTCTAAGCCCTCGCTGTACAG